CCACTGAGCCAAACCGGTTTCGGCGAATATTCTTTCTTTATAAGAGCACAGTGAGAAAGTTCCTTTGCTGCTGTCTACTTTGATTTTTGCTTTGGCTTTGGGCACTATCATTTGAAGAAATAATGCTGAGCTGTGGCAGCCACTTTGCAACACTGAGGATGGCAAAATCAATCAATCCAAGAAAATCTGGATGAGGTTTTGGCTACTACCCAGCTCTGTAACCACCCATCTCCAGACTTCTTGTTAACTAAACATAGGAGAATTAAACATTCTTATTGCTTATGTCACCGTCAGTCTAGTTTTCTGTTACTCGTGACAACCATATCCTGATAGAAGCAATTTTCTGTCTGGCACCAAATAAATGCTTTAAGTTCTCTCTAACTTAAAAGGAACCCTATTAAACACCTACTGATATTTCATTAAAATTTTCTTAAAATATCCTCATATGGTGAGGATATGTTTTTTTTATTTCAGAGGGGGACGGGGAGAGAGAAACATCAATGTAAGACAGAAACAACTGGTTGCCTTCCATACATGCCCTGACCAGGGATGGAACCCATAACCCACGTATGTGCCCTGACAGGGAATTGAACGGGACAATGATCTAACCAACTGAGCTACCCAGTCAGGGCTGTTAGCTCATTTAAAAAAAAAATGTTTTTGGATAAAGAGAAAGAAAGAGGCAGAGAGAGAAAAACATCAATGTGAGAAAGAAACTGGTTGGTTGCCTCCTGCACACCCCCTACTGGGGATTGAGCCCACCACCTGGGCATGTGCCTGGACTGGGAAGTGAATCGGCTAACTTTTGGTGCATGGGATGATGCTCAACCAACTGAGCCACACTGGCCAGGGCTGTTATCTCATTTATAATAATAAAAGTGTTATATGCTAATTAGGCCGGATGACAACCTCCTGGATGAAGCTGGGTCTGCGAGGGAAGCCCGGGTCCCAGGTGCTAGACAGAAGCTAGTGACAGCAGCCAGAGGAAAGGAAGGCCTGCTCTAGCATGGATTTCATGCACTGGGCCTCTAGTTTTTATAGAAAAGAAAGAAAACTGAGCTTAGGGAAGTAATTTTCCCCAAAGTGACAGGTAGAGTTGTATTCAAGCCCAATCCTAACTCTACAGCCCACATCTGTCACTTAACCATGTGGTTAAAAGATGATCAAGCCTATAGTTCTCTCTTTTGGTGTCTTTTTTTTTTTTTTTTTTTTTTAATATATTTTATTGATTTTTACAGAGAGGAAGGGAGACAGAGAGCTAGAAATGTCGATGAGAGAGAAACATCGACCAGCTGCCTCTTGCACGCCCCCTACTGGGAATGTGCCCGCAACCAACGTACATGCCCCTGACTGAATTGAACCCAGGACCCTTCAGTCCGCAGACCAACGCTCTACCACTGAGCCAAACTGGTTTTGGCTCTTTTGGTGTCTTAAAAAAATGCACATACAAATGCAGGAAGTAATACATATATATATATAAATGTTGCTTTGGGTTTTTTACAATTTTATTTGCACTGATTTGTTGGGGAGAACTGTGTATTTCAGAGATGTAGGGAGCAGCTATAGGGTTAAGCCTTGGACTGACCTGTTGGCAAAGCTACAAAGGAGTCCCAGCTTAGAGGGCACAGACCTCTTAGCATAATTAAGATTGACTTTATGGCGCCCCCTAGATCCTTCCTGGGTAGCTAATGGGCTGTGGGAGGTGCAGCAAGTGCTGCCAAAACAAGTGAAACTCTTAACTATGGTGACCACTACCTGTTTCCCTCTGACTATAAAGCATCAGCTTGCCCTCTGGATCTTTTCTCTGAGGCCTTAGCCAGGCACAGGAGATCACCTAGACCCAACTTATTCTCTTTGTCTTTATTCATCCTACAGCCCCCCCTCAGGCTCATCGAACCCTTGGCTGTGCTGGCACAGCACACAGAGGCTCAGCCAAAAAAGCAGACTTGCCTTGTCTTTATTCCACACGTTTACATCGAATCTGTGTATCAGGGAATAAAGACAAGTCGTGGAGACTTTGATTCAGTCATTAACATTCAACCCCAAAGTACCTGAAATGGTGAACATGAAAGTGGTACATGCTCCTCCTCAAGTTTTCTGTGTGTGTGTTAATCCTCACCCAAATATATTTTTCCCATTGATTTTTAGAGAGTGAAAGGGAGGGGAAGAGACAGAAACATCAATGTGAGAAAGACACATCAGTTGGTTACCTCTCTCCCTGACCAGCTCTTGGGATTGAGCTTGTAACTGAGGTACACGCCCTTGACCAGAATCGAAGCCAGAACCCTTCAGTCTGTGTGCCAATGCTCTAACCACTGAGTGAAACTGGCTAGGACTCCTTAAGCTTTCTTGGAAGAATAGAAAAACTAAAGACTGAAAAATTCCAAACATCTAACAAGGCAGGGTCTTTGAGTTGGCCTAGGAAAGCTGAATATCATATTTTTGAGCCAAAGAAACAGAAGAGAGAGGATTACAATGGAGACCCACTGACAATAAATTAATTATATAAAACAGGAAAGCATTGAAGCCCAGAGAACAAAAAGCAGCTGGCTCCTCATGGCTCAACCTTAGGCCAAACAGGACTTCCAATGAGAAGAGACCAGAAGACCATCGAACAGAGTTCCTGTGAGCTCTTAGCTACAGAAAGGGCTATGGGGTGATTAAATATTCAATTCCCCCATGGCTGCTGGCTAGGAAACTTAAGGGGCTCAGTGTAGAAAAAGCCCCAGCCATGGCAGAAGGAAGATACTAAAGGCAGGCATATCCACCCCAAAACCTCTGAGGTTACTTGAAAGTCAGGAGGATGCATTCTTACCGAGCACTCATAGCCCATCCCTGTTCCAGAGGCAGTTTGCTAAGTTCTCAGGAAAGGGAGCTATGACACTGGCATCTAATAACCAGTCACTGTTGCAGGCTTGCCCTGACCTCTAAGATGCCCCACCCTCACTGAACCATGGAAAAGCCCAGCCCTGTGGACAAAGGCCAGAGACAGAGAAGCTGCTCCTCCAGGGCCTACACATTGGGATGATCAAGAGTGTGATAACCAGCCAGGGATGTGGCTTAGTGGTAGAGCACCTACCTGTGAACCAAGAGGTCATGGTTTGATTCCTGATTAGGGCACATGTCCGGGTTAAGAGCTTGAGCCCCAGTGTGGGGCATGTAGGAAGCAGCCAAACAATGATTCTTTTATCTCTTCTATCTCTCTCCCTCTCTGAAATAAAATAAAATTTGTGTGATAACCTGGTGAAAAGAACAAAACCCATGAACTAAAAGAGGTAGCATGGCCAATGGGAATAGGGAACCAAGACAAGTGGGTGAACCTGATGATGCTAGAGGACAAAGGTGTGTCTCTCAAATTCAAAATTTTTAAAATGGAATGTCATCTATTAAGTGTCAAAGAGGCCAGTATTATTTTTTTAAAAATATATTTTATTGATTTTTTACAGAGAGGAAGGGAGATAGCTAGAAACATCGATGAGAAACATCGACCAGCTACCTCTTGCACACCCCCTACTGGGGATGTGCCCGCAACCAATGTACATGCCCTTGACCAGAATCGAACCTGGGACCTTTTAGTCCGCAGACCGATGCTCTACCACTGAGCCAAACCGGTTTCGGCATAGAGGCCATTATATAATAAATCTCAACTTCTATCTTTTTTTCTCACCTGAGGATATATTTTTCCCTGACTCTAGAGAGTAAGGGAGAGGAAGAAACATTGATGTGAGAAACACTGATGAGTTGTCTCCTGCACACACTTGACCAGGGATCCAATCAGCGACCTGGTTATGTGCCTTGACTGGGAATCAAACCTGTGAACCTTCAGTGCACGGGACAATACTCTAATTACCTGAGCCACTGTGGCCAGAGCTAACTTCTATCTTATCAAGGGTTGTTCTTTGGCAGTAGGCGACTTAGAGTTAATTCCCGATGAAAATCATTAATTGCTCTTTTGAGAAACCCTTCAATGGAAGCTAGAAAAGTACTGCTACTTATTTCGGGGGTGAGAGTCAGGGAAACTAGTGTTGGGACCACTGTGCCACCTGAAGGCACTCATAGGTGCTGGAGTCTGACTTCCTCACTTTGATAGAGCCTATAGCTAGGATCTCAGCAATGAACAGGAAACACTTGGCTAAGAATGCTCAGGAGAAAAGGGCCTAGAAGGACCTGAACCTGTACCTTCAGAGCATTAGGCAGGGGGGGAGGAATGAAGGGGGAAGGGGAGAAGGGTGGTTGGGACGTGGAATAAGAATGCAGGGATATAGCAGCTCCATTCACTTCCTCTGAGAGATTCTCAGCAGCTCTATTTTGTTTGAAGATAGACTCAGGCAAAGGGAAGGGAAACTACCATTTATTGAGCGCCTACTGTACATATGGGGCCTTGTGCAAGGAGTTTTCATCTACAACATTCCATTTAATCCTCACACCAACCTTGTGAGGTAGGTATTGTCCTCATTTTTATCAAGTGAGGCATATGAGGCTCAGAAAAGCTAGGTGGCTTGTCCAAGTCATACTACTAGTTACTGACAGAGCTGGGCCTGAGTACTGAGACTCAGACTAAAACATTCCCTGCTCTCTCTGACCGCCCCTTAGGGGGAAGGAGGGAGTAAGAGCAGCAGCAGCAATTCTTAACACTTCCCACAGCGAGAACCCAGATGGTCACCATGAGGAGGAGCCTGTGCTTTTCCACAGACCCTCCCCTCTGTACCTGGGGAAGATGCACTCAGTTGAAGAGATAAAGCATAAATATAAAAATAAATAGAAGGGACAAGTCCCCCAGCAGCAAGGACATGCAGCATCCATGCTGTGGGAAGGTCACTGTGACATTCACAGCTGCTGTGGGGGAGGCACATGGCCCTGTGGGAAACTGGGACAATGGCTGCCAGAGGCTGGAGTGGGTGGGCTAAACAGGCCTGTTCTGGGTCGCACAGATTTTAGAACAAAACGTCTGGAGCAGGCACCAGCCGTGGACAGTCACCATCATCCTCCATCTGCTCATTTTACCGTTGTTTGTGATCCAAGAGGGATTCAAAATCGGGGGAACATACAAGTTTGTGCTTTACGTGTCCTAGGACGGTCATGTCCCCCGTCCTACTGTCTCCAAGGCCCACGGACACCAGTTCCTGCCAATCGACAGAGAAGGCAATGAGAACCAAAACCATGTAGCCCATCAATCAGTCCTGATTTTAATGTAATAATCCCAAGAACCCTTCTCCCTCATTTAGCACCAGTTCACAACATCCTCAGCCTCTTAAAGGGTCTCTGCCTTTGAACCTATGGGCTCTCACCTGCAGGAAAGAGCAGGCGGTTCCCATGGTTACATCCAGAGTCACCTTGCCCAGGAGGAGCTGTACCTTTCCTGACTTGCGGATGAGCAGCTTGCCAACCTGACCCTCTGTCAGGTCAGCCAGGGTACAAGCATTCTCTGCCAGCCTGGCTTCCTGTGAAGAGAATCAGGGTATGGAGATGGGGGAAGGAGCAGTTTCCCCATCCTTCACGAGGGGACCCTTCCCCAAAGAAACGTGTCAGCAGCAAAGGTTAGCATAAGCTCCCCCAAAAGGGCCTTTTCCTAGGGCTGCTTGCGCTGGTTAAAAAAAAAACACACACATACACACACACAAAAAAAAACCACCACAAAACAAAACAAAATCACCCACAGCCAACAAGTAAATGTTAACTGCTGAAACTCGGTAATGGCACATGAGGGTCTATGTTCTCTCACGTACACGTTCAAGTATTTCATTGTAGCAAGTAAACTTACATATAATTGAGGTTGAGGTACAAAGCCCCAAGCTTCTTATGGGGAGAAAGAAAAAATACATGTCTTTGCAATTCAGCTTGGGTGGCCCACCCCTGCTTCACCCTACAAGTCGCTGCTTCCCTCCCTGATCGATCCCCCCGCATTTCCACGCAGCTCATTCCTGAGCATACCCGGTCTTTCTCCTGTTTCACGATCACCATCTGTCCATCCTCACTCTGCACCTCTGTCTTGATAGGCTTGATGTCCTGAGTTGGCGGCTGGCCGGGGAGCGTGTCTGGCAGCTGGAGGAACAGCAGCTCTTCCTCCTGCGTAAGGCTCAGCTCCCTGAGCAGCTCTGCCACAGACACGTCCTTTGGGAGGCCCGGGGTCTTTCTGGCTGCTCTGGGAGGAGCCTTCATCTTGACCTCCTCCTCCTCATCTCGTGGCTCCTCTTTTACTGTCCAAAGTAACACAAATGGAAGGGCTATCAAGTGGCCACCCTCTGTGTCATCTCATTGTACCCATCCCTTCACCCCCAAATGCTCCAGAGAAACACTAGCTGTGAAGAGGGATCCAGGAATTGTGTGACTTATCTAATAAGGGGAATCTGTGGCTAGGCCCATCGGTCCCTATCAGCATGAACCTTCTGAGAGTGAGAATTTAGTGTCTTTGTTCAGGCCATGTAATTTTAAAGCTGGAATGGGAGAGGACCTGCTTATTAGCAGCAGTCCGGGAGACCCAGGGTGGGGACTGGGGGCCAGATTGAAAACAACTAAATACACAGAAAATGAGACGAGATGTTAACTGACACCGAGTACCTTTCACAGCAGGCACATCCACCTCCATGTCCTCTTCCTTGGGGCCAGCCAGCCAAGGTTTGACATCTGGTTCTTCATTCTCTTCCTTAAACAACCACCCGGAGTGAGCCAGAGGCAGCTGTACAGGCATGTTCCGAGTGTCATTCCTCAGCCCAGGGTCATCGATGAACTGCCAAAGAAGAGTCAGCGGTTGACATGGCCTGGCCAGCAGATACACATGCTGGGATTGCAGCCCACGTTAGCCCCTTTCTAACGAAGATTCCTCTGCTTGCCAGGCTTCCAGGACATCAGAGAGCAAGTCTCCCTCCAACCCTGACTCCACAGGCCCTCTCCACTGCCATAAAGAAAGCCCATCCTCCTCCCCCCTCTCCTGCCCTCAGCCTGCTGGTACCTACATCATCCTTCTCCAGCATGCGCAGGATCTGTTTTGTTTCTTCATCTGTCTCTCTCTTCTCTTTTTTGATGTTGATGATATGAGAGGGCCCCATGTCCGACACATCCACTGTCTTATCCCAGTTCCCTGTGGGAAATCATCCAGTTCACCAGGGGGAAGGAAGAGGCCAACAGCTAGGAAAACTAAAGTGGGAACAGGGGAATCCCGTTGCCCTCGCCCTTCTCTCAGGCAGTCTGAACTGAAATCCATTGATCCCCCTCCTCCCGGAAGCTCTCGTACCCTTTTTCTTCATCATTTCAGCTGGGCCCTGCTCAAAGATGGAATGGGACTGGATCACTTCTGGTCGACCCCGGCCCCGTCCATGACCCTCTCGCTGTCGGTCTCTATCCCTTTCACGCTTCTCCTTCTTAATGGTCACTTCTTCCTTGGGTCTGGAAAAGAGAATGGATTAAGGGAAACTACTCACTTATCCTTCCTGGGAGAACTGATCTTAACTCTCCCATCTACCTCCACTCCACCTGAGCCAGTAACTACATCAGGAGACACAGAACCCAATCCTAAGTCTAACACTTTTCATTTCCTTGATGTGCAGAGTCCTTTCAGTTTGTTTTGCTATATCTTCTCGTTTGAGGGTATGTATTGAAACTACAACTCAAAAGTTGACTTACAGAAACTGCCCCAAAATGTAAAAATTTTTTGTATTCATTGAAAACAGAAGGCTGTAATGTAAAAGAAACTTAAGGGGAAACTTAATACACCTTTGTCTAAACTAGTGGCTCTCAACTCTGGCTGTAAAAGATAATCACTCTGGCCGAAACCGGTTTGGCTCAGTGGACAGAGCGTCAGCCTGTAGACTGAAAGGTCCCAGGTTCGATTCCGGTCAAGGGCATGTACCTTAGTTGCAGGCACATCCCCAATAGGGGCTGTGCAAGAGGCAGCTGATCGATGATTCTCTCTAATCCATGTTTGTAACTCTCTATCCCTCTCTCTTCCTCTCTGTAAAAATCAATAAAATATATTTTTAAAAAATCACTGTTTCATTGCAAACAAATGACATCACAATTTCTGGGAAGGCCTCCCAGACCTCTGAATTTTTTTTTTTAAAGCTTGCACATTAGAATCAGCTGGGAGCCAGGTTAAAAACAACTAAATACACAAATTTAAATTTCTGTGCCACATACCTAGTTATTTCCCAAAAGGCTCAAATTAGAGCAAGTAAATAAGGGGTGAGTATTCAGAAGACCTAACTACTTACTCTTCCTTGATCTTCCGACTGATGATATTTGGGGTGAAGGTTTTCTGAAAGTGAAATACAGGGGTCACTGATTTGGTAATTTCTGATCCCAAAGCACTGAAGAAAAGAAAAAAAATCCCAAAGGGAACCTTCTGTGGACCAAAACCACTATGGCTCTCTCTTGTACATTCCACATTGTTGTTGGAGATTTAGAGAGAAAGACACGTGCTTGACAAAGATGCTTGCACAGAACTGCCAAGTCATGGTGGCAGCAGAGCGACACACTAAGGGGCACCAAGACCCACTTAGACCAGCAGCTTCAGTTCTTCCCTCTGAAAGGAGAACCTCAGGACTTCTAAAAGCAAAGGAACTGATCTAACCTCACCTCTTTATTGTCTTAAAATTGCCTCAGAGAGCGGGCAGTACCAGGGGAACGAGATCAAATAGGAAAGACAGAGATGTGCCACGACTCACAAACAGAAGGCAAGTTAGACTGCCAACAGAATTTACCTGGGCAAACTTAAATCTTAAAAAAAAAAAAAAAAAAAAAAAAAAGTATGGCTGCTTTATGCTTGTCATCGCTCCACTCCCTACTTCAGGGCTGTGGTCATAAACACAATGGGAGAGGACACAGCGCTTCTAACGCCACGCCTGGTATCCATTCTACTCCAGACCAGAAATGCGCACACTGGGGTCCAGGGCAAAGTCAGACGCTGTCCAGCTGCAGGCAACACTGATGCCTGCGTAACTCTCATGGGCTTCTTAAAGGTGTCCACATACACACACACACAAAGTAAACAAACACTGTTGCTTTTAAACGAATTAGACTTCTCTCCCCTTCAGCCATCTCTGAGAACCAGGTCAAAAGCTTGAATCCAGCATCTAGACTTCAAGGTAGAACGGGCTCCCCACCATGTGCGGGCACCAGTCTGGGCACGAGAGTCGTTAAGGCCCAACACCAAGCCTGGCACACGGTAGGCCCTCCATGAACATCCGTGGTACCCCAGGAGCCTGGAATTCAAGGTAATCGGGTACCTTCTTGACTCCCCCGAGGGTGAGATCCCTGGAGCGGATGGAGGGAAGGCGGCCCGGGGTGAGGTGTGGCGCCGGCCGCTGTCCGATAAGCCCCCGTGCGCCGGAGAGGAGGGCTCGGGGCGCGCCGGGAGCGCTGGGCTCGCCCGGGGCCTTCCCCCCCGACATGTTGCCTGGGAGAGAAGAGGGGAGAGAGACAACAACGTCAACGGTGGGGGGAGAGACACGCGGGACCCTGGGCTGAACCCCACCCACCTGGCCGCTCGCCCCCCCAGTCAGGGCGTCCCTCCTCCAGGTCCCAGCTCCTCCCCTCCCACGTGGCGACCCCTCGGACCCCCGCGGCCGCCGCCACGGGCGCGCCCTCCCCGCAGGCCTCGCGAGGCAGGGGCGCACCCCAGCGCACCCCGATTCCCACGTCGTGCGGGTCGCGACTTCAGCTCCGGTGCGGCCCGCAGCCGCCCCCAGGTCTCGGCGCGAGGCGGAAGTCTGCGTGGCGGGGCCCGGGCGCCGCCATCTTGCCGCGCGGCGGAAGTGAGGTCAGTGGGCGGGGCCTGCCACCCTATTTATCCGCCGGCGCCCCGCTCGCCTCCGCCTTCTCTTCCCGGTTCTTCCCGGAGTCGGGAAAAGCTGGGTTGAGAGGGCGAAAAAGGAAGAGGGGACTGTGCCTGGTGACGCCTCAGGGTCTTGGCCTAGGGGCGGAGGGGCCGCAGGCGCCCAGCTCCGCGGGTGGAGGCCTGGGCGGCCGCCGTCACGCAGCGTGGGGCTTCTCCGCGGAGTCCGCG